TTAATATATTAGCTGATTCAAAAAACGCTTTTGTTGGTATTTGCAAACACTATCAAGGAGGGCATATTTATTATAAGAGTATCTGAAATTAGAAGTGATGCCTGGATGAGATATGAGTTAATCGAAACGATTATTTCAAAATTCACAAATCTAGCCATTCCCGTATATTCATACCTCTTGGAACATCTTGCAATGTGAAAAAGAAAAGGACCTTATCTTTGATAAGATACCGATCGCTAGAAAAGCTTTACATACGATACTGGTGGCGATGACTACATCATATGTCGTTATCTCAATAACAAGTTGAAAACTAAGCTTTTTATCATCATAATCGTTTCGATCGCTAAAATCTACCAAAGAAAGTCATTAACATTTCTAGAGAATAGATAAGTAGATCACTCGACTTATGAATTGAGATACACGAAGCCATCAGATTATCTGATAGTGTTCATGAATACAAAGTTGAATTCTTAAGTGAATGAAATAACAAAAGAGTTTGAATTTCAGGCGATAGTTTGAATCTCCAAAGGAATCTTTACGGTCTACTTCATAGTCAAGCGTTCAACACCACCGACAAGCCCTACAAATTTTACTTCGCAATAATTAACTTGGAAAATTGTGGTCAAAATCAGTGAGTGAGAAATTGTTAAGAATCCAACAATTTATTGCTTTTTAAGCAGATGCGTTGTCATAAAAGGCACCTACTAAAACAATTTTTTAACAAGCAACTTAAGCCAGACGTTGAATTTTCGAAAAGAAAAAGTGCCCTTGACATCTGTGAAATGCGTTGAGTTTCAAAACATTCAAACAACCGCTCAAAACAATCGGAAAAAAAGCTCCGGAAGCGAAAAAAAGAAGCGAATTGATGAGAGGTGAGCTATTGTTGAGGTTATGGCATTTAGAAATCATAAAAAAGTTTTATCTACCTTTATTGAAGCCAACTGATGAATGCAGTAACCTAATTTGGAACTGAGAGATAAGAAACTCTTATTTGAGAAACTATCTCAAAAAAACCATTTCTCTATTCTTTTTTAGAGAAAGCAATAAAGTTAGAATAGGGTTTAGATAACTATAGTTGATACATTACACATCAATAGCACTTTACAAGGAGTTTTCCATCTTATAATGATTTCAGCAAACATTATGCAATAAAAATCGAAGACAGCATCAGAGTCCTAGAACTTTCTATTATGTTAATGAGCTCGATTGCCCTAAATTACAGTATGCTTCGTCGTGAGGCGGAACGGGCGGCTTCTTTATCAGTGTAAACCAGTGCGGGCCAGTTCTAACACAATCATCTATCATCTACTGTGTGACAGTTACATCGTTAAGACAGGTGTATGATAGTTAAAAGCTGAGAGAGACATCAGATTCACTTATCTTTGTAATGACGAATAGCAGGAATACGGTGGGTCGTAGATAGTTGTGGTTTAGGAGCATGTCATGTTATTCGCCATAACATGATTGACCAGCAATCACCAATATTTCGGGTTCAAGAGGAGTACGAAAATATAGTAAAATTATTCTTTATTTCACTACAAGGACAAAGTCAATTCAGTAGGTGTGATAGATCCAGCTGATCCACAGAATGAATGTATGAGTGTTTCTGCGTATTTTAAGAAGAAATTTAGTAGAATCATATGGCTATACAGTATAATTAAACATCTGGAAATTCACCTAAGCGCTTAATACAACTATACTTTAGGCGAAAGCTTACAAATTTATAGAATAAAGAAAAGATAAAATTTATACCATCTAAAAGGCTCGAGATATATATATTGTCGAACTCATAAATGCATCGACTTTAGGCCATTCTGCCAAGGCACTATTGTATATTGTTTCATACGATAGCGAATAATGAAACCACTCCATTCTTACGACGACTATATGAAGAGAGTTAAAAGCTTTTATTTAGGACACTTATGTTTATGCTGGCTGAGTGTTTTTTTTTGCTAGTGATTTTCGGATTGCCTATTCTTTGAATGGACGATAATGGGGTGATCTCCATGAAGGCGAATGAGGTCGTCGTAAGGAATTCGGATAGTTCGAAGAGGGAGCCATGCATACAAGTCTTACGGCGTGCAGAACTCTATCGTCGGTTCCACTTTCCTATGGCAGTGAACGCTTTTTGTGACAAATTTCTTAAAAATCCACTGTAAGAAATAGCACATTACAATCTACGTTAAACTGAGCGTTGACTTTATAATGGGTCGTCAAGCAAACTTCAAGCTATACACCTTTCTCCTGAGATTTAGAATTGATCACTTCTCCGAATCTTTCGGTCTACATCTGCTCTTCTTTTATTACCTACGTCTATACATTTATGGAATTGAAGCAGACTCAAGTAGATGAAATACTGTATGCTATAGGCAAATTTTAGAACTCTGCTTTAGAAAATAAAACTATTCAGAATATTACATTGTAGAAATTGTTAGTACAATGGTAATAGATTTTCCACTGCAGTTGCTGAATTTACTAAGGTGTCAACATTTGCACAGAAGGTTGGTCTAAAACCAAATGGTAATTCTAGATATGAGTATAAGGAAGACTGAATACGCTTTAGGAACTCCTAATGATCGTATGATGAGTCGTGGTGGAAATGTGCGTAGGAAATCTTCGAGAATTTCCCCACTGGACTTCTCAAACTGAGGATAGGAAATGTTTGAGATATCATTACGACGTTAAGAAGTTTCACCAATTAGGCTATCGAAATGAAGTTCAAAGAATTGTTTTTGGTGGTCATGAGTTCAACCGTGACACGGTTGAAATCGTCTCAATTCAAAACACGGTAAAGAGAGAAAATTAGGCTCAGTAGAAGTATCCTCTGATTATAATCGCCGTCTATCAGTGCTATAGCAATCACTTCATTATGAAAGGAACTTCTTAGTCCTTGCGATTCTTGATAGTTACAGAATATTCAGCGGTTTTCTTCTGTTAAACGGTTCCTTGATAATGCTTATGATAGTCGGTTATGGAAATACAAGGCACCTTAAATCTAATGCCTAACATTGCTTTCTAGATAAGTGGGTTTTGATGACTTCAAATAGAAATATTTGTCAGTTTCTTCTTATGAGAATTCGCAATCATTTTTCACATAGCTGAGTGGAATGAATTAATTTCATCGTCAATTAGCGAAACAAAAAAAAAAAACAGAACACAAGAATTACTACTCGTTGGAAGTAAGTTCTTAAGTAATAATCACCTTCTCTTATTATGTCAACTATTCAGAAGAACTCTTTATTGAAATAAAGAAAGTAAGCAGAGTTCTAAAACTCAACAAATATGGGGGAGCAGAATTTACATAGGGGAAATGAAAAAAAAAAGCTTCCCAGCGATCAGATTGAGTGACACTCTTAGATTACTTTATCGAGCAAAAAACCACTAAGACATTCATGTGGAGTAACCTCTGTGTCCCAAATATTTACAGAATTCTGCGATTCGATATGTTCTCATTTCATTCGATGTCGTCGGAAATTGCTGAAGTCTATTGAATTTGAGCGTATATCTGCCCACAAATGAACATTGGAACTATTGAGTTGAGCATGAAAACGTCCAAAGTGTTGTTTACTTAAGAAGATTTTATAAATGAATATCCAATTATCAGAATGAAAAGTAAATAACATCATTCATATGATTCAGTATTCTATATATCAGTAATCGCTGCGTTCAAATAGGGCGCAATAGAATTTTTTGTTACTTTTCATGAATAATATGGATTTAAATTTGTTTCTACTGAGACTGTTGGCGAATGTAAGTTGCCCTGATGCTTTTCTAATTATAATAATTGCATACATGAGATGCCGAGTTTACAAATATTTGCGCAATTGACAAGATGATAATAGGATTCATTTACCTTTTCGATAAATATATATGAGGAAAATCGAGAAGCAAGAAGTTTGTGAGCGCTCACTAATTGGTGTAATCGCGTCTTAGCCAATTCAATCTACCATATCACACAAGCGAGTCGGGTGACCAAAAAGTTCATGAAACAGATCAGATAATGTAGTAGAACAACTGGGCTGAATAAGTTTAACATTGAGCAAACAAGTCGATTACTCGCGCCGAACAATGAGATCAAATAATCATGTATAACCACATTCTTCAGTTAGGTGAACAATGGGATTGATCCATTGACTCAAATGACCGAGTCAAACAAGTAGGCAGAAAAATCTACTCAGATAATCGATTCAGACAGCCAATTCAGGCAACTGATTTAATCAGTGGAAAAACAGGGAAACCAAGTAGAACATCCGAGTTTTCAACGAGTTAGAATAATAAATGAAACGATCCAAGTCAAATAATCGAATGGAACAAATGAGACGGATAGCCGAGTGGTGTTCATAAAAGCTGGAGTTCCCTGCGAGTTCAAATCGTGCATCTTCTCAAACCAGGAAATTCTTAAGCTTTACGATTGTGCACAATACGGAATATGTGATAAAAGAAAGCTTTTCACACATTTAAACGTCATAGTCAACAGTTTTCTGTTTTGACAATTCCGATACGAACTGGCCAATTTGAATAGGAGATCAATGCGTGGGAATCTTCACACTAGAGTTCTCAGCAATGAATAGAATATTCGCGACTTTGACTTGCTGTAAACAGATACAATATAGGGCTAAAATTACAAAATGATAAATGAGGTAGTTGAAAGGTCAGAACACATCTGACAAAAGCAAAGTAAAGGCCTTCGTAACACAGTGGGTAACATTTGAGCGTCCGGAAAGGTCTTTGTGATTCCCATTTGAGATTCCGAGTTAAACTCATATCTCAGCACTCTTGTAACTCCTTTCTAGAGTTTCTACTGCCTTTTTCGCAGTATTATGCTGTTCCATATATACCTTAGAGAATTGAGTAGTGAGCGAAAATACGAGCTCAGACGGGAGTCGAACCCACGTTTCATCCACACAAAAACTGGGTTTATAGAGCGAACCGAGCCTGTTAAAGGGTGGCGGCTGATAGCTATCATAGAGATATTGAAGAATGAGTGATGCAGCGAATTTAACCCTGTGGTGTAGTGGTAGCACGCGTCACCTGTGGTATGGACGAAACACGGATTCGACTCCCGTCTGAGGCCGCATTCTTGATCACCGCTCAAATTATTCAAATTTTGCTCACCGTCTTAGGCACATACTCTTGTAACTGAATTTCACGTCGTACTCTGCCATGAAGAACGGGTGGGAGGAAAAAAAAGGCACGCATTGTGATCTACAATACAAGTTCAGTTTAATTGTGTTCAGAGCACTTCAGATAAGTCCGTGCAAACAGCCGAGAAAAAATTGGGGAGTTCATCAAGAAAATTATTGAAAACATTTGTTAATGAGGTAGAAAGTCACTTTAAAAATGATGCTGAGTGATTTGTAAAACTCTGAACCTCATGTTTACACAAGGTGCGTGATACCGCTGTAATTTAAAAATTCTTAAGTGCTTGCTTTCGTCGCTAACACAAGATCAGTGATATTGGCTTATAAAAACTATCGATAATTAATCAGTAACTAGAGCAGCTCAAAAGTTCATAACTTCATGCACTACAGATGAGGTGTACTCCATGATGAACTTGCGTATACGCATCTCTTGATGTTGGTTTTTTTTTCAGATAATTGACGACAATTCCTCGATTTCTCAATCACGTCAATAATGAATGAGAATCGCATAGATTAACAGGAAAATTTAATCCATCTCCTAAAACATATGCAGGATTAAGAATCTCATAACTTTGACCAATCCGTGGGAGATGCGTCATGCATTAGACTTCATCAAGCTTTGTTTGAGCTGACTGAATGTTTATTTGGTCTTTAGATTGTCTCGCGGCGGTTCATCGAAAGCGTTCGGATTCAGGCGATAGTCTCTTTGTTTCTGCAGTGCCAGTTTGACGGACTTTATGTACTGAGTCAGGTTGGCCAAAAGCGAGTAATCAAGCGGCTGGGAAGTACACGGGAGACGGCTGGGAGTTGCAATGTTAACAACTGTGGTAGCTTTCCTGCCTTTATAGAGAGACTGGTGATGTACTACTCATGAATACCCAGCTCTCAGGTTCAGAGCTCAGCAAGCTATTCCTTGAATATTCAATGTTAACTGAAGTAAGAGAAACGGACCTCAATTCATTTACCCCGAAAATGCCCTGGTACGGTAGCGTTAAACGGGACGAGTACGGAGAGGCTGCTATAATCTCAGAGTCGAACTAGGCTGCCAAAGTCGTAACAGACGACCTGTGCTTATAACGCACGTATGCTTGCATACGAATTCTCTATAGAAGATCTATTGACAGGAAGAAAGATTAAGGACATCGGTCTGGCTGAGACGGAAAGACACCATCCATTTCACAGAACTTCTTGGAACATGCCATCGCGAAGGAGTTGGTGGCGTTGGTGCTCTCGTCAAAACAAGTTTAACTATGAATATCGATCCATTTGAACATCTACTAACCCGGATCGGACAATTGCGGCTAAAATGATGTAGATCAATGCCGACTTTATCTGTCTTCGTTGCTTGCGTATCAATATCAAGTTCTGACAAAGACGAACTCGAGTTCTATAGATACCTGAGAACTTTTCCAGTGAGGACCAAGTATTTCTCAAAGTCATCCACTGGAGATTTTAGCGCAAAAATTGGACCAAGAGCGGTTGAAGAACGTCTCATTGGAACTCACGGACCAGAATGGGAAGAACAGGTTGAGAGGCTGTGGGAGTTCATAACGACGACCGAAACCACCTATGGTAACTCACAGTTTTGAAAGCCCCACTTCCAGCGGGGGTGTGGGAGTGTTCCAATGGAAAATAACTCAACGAAATAAAGCATATCTTCGTAAAGTGAAGGTTCTTCCTAACCAACGTCACTGTTGTTGCAAAACTGGTAACACCTATTTTTCGCGAAAAGGAGAGAGAGCCATTGAAATGAAATAGCGAAACCTTACAACTATCTCAAAATGGGATATTTCAAATGATTATCAGCTATCTCATAATATATCAAAGATCGACTGTTTTTGAAACCCCAAAAAAAATTCAAATTCTCATATCTCATAATTATCTCATAATTATTATTGAGCCAACATGTCATGTGGTCTGGTAAGGGGCTCTTGTGCAGCTCGATACACGTGCTTCAACCTTGATAGCCTCGTCAGTTGGGCAGAACCGTCGTCTTTTAGCCAAGCGTCTGTAGGTGCTCCAATCTCCACACTATGAGGAAGCGTTGACGAACGATTTACACTGTAAGTCGAGTGAGAATACCACCGAACATACAGTTCTGTACACTTGATTACTCTTTGGCTGGTACTTGTGCAAGTCAGCTATTGGAAGAAGGTGCTTAGAAGGTGTTTAGTCAGCTACTGAAAGAAGGTACCGCCATCAACATCATTGACAAAGAATACGACTGACTCATCCAACATTTTCACGTGAGCGCTGCGAAAGCCAAAAGTTTCAAAGTAACTAAGAGACCTCTGTCTCCAGAAACGCTTGAGTGGTACGCGAACGTAGAGTCCTACGATTTGCAATAACCGATACCTTACGCCCTGACCTGTAAAACGCTGCAGAAATGAGATCAAAAAATTTTGAAGACAGAAGAGCATCAGTTATGGCTGAAACTGCAGAAGCTGGAAAAGCATTCAACTAAAGCTTCGCCAATTACAGGACTAAGATAATTGCACTTTGGAGCCTTGACGAACAGCTACAGCTTTCCTTAAGGCAATGCAGAGGATCATTGATGATAACTATTCGGATTTCTTCAATACCATGTTTTCTTATCGTCGTATGGATTGAAAGAGGACGAATTTGTCGTTTCGCCGGTTCTTGCATGTGTGATTCAAGATGCTATTTTGTCCATAAAAAATGCAACATCAACTGGTCAAGACAGAATGAAACCGGAACGTTTAAAAACCTTCCACCATTTATTCTCTACACGCTGGCTCGACTCGCTATCTGTCAAATTGATGGTCGACAACTATGCCATCTTCGCGACAAATGTTGAGCGATTTCGAAAACGTTTTTGGAAAGAATGGTTTCCGACTAAATCCAAAGAAAACGATGTTTATGAGAAACGGACTGGTTTCGAATGTTCCATTCGCGATTTAAGAAATGAATATCTCCGAATACTCCGTAGTTGTGCTGGAAGAAGCGAGCGGCTTGATGGTCGTTAAGAATGCCGAGGATGTTGAAGAGCAAGAAGAACCTCCGTGCTCATTTTTTTTATTCAACGGTTATTCCTGACTTTATGATGCATCAGATACCTGGTCACTACGCAAGCCAGGTGAAATTTGACGGTATCGAACGTGCATTGAAAGGTCGTAAGACTGAGAGGATAGGATCATCACTCATCTTGCAAATGAGAAAAAGGATTGAACGTCCTGATCTACGTCAACGATCAAAAATTAGAGACGCCGTTCCGCACGCTACGCTATCAAAGCTAAAATGGTTTGGTTAAATAATGTGCTTCAACAACAACCGATGGACGAGAGCCTTTACCGACGGGATTCCTTGGAATATCAAGCGCTTCACAGATTGACCACTTGACTCAATGGTCCAATTTCTTTACGAAAAGTTTAGAAGAAAGATATGATGACGAATTTTGCAGAGCAAAGACGATCTGTTTGGCTACCCTTGGACGCGACTGGAAGAACACTGGGCTTTACTGGCACTCGCTTGAGCAACCCGACAACTGAACAGGGAGACAGGTGATAGCGGTAGGTGTAAAAAACAACGATAAAAGGGACCGTTGTCGCTTTGTAATGTACGGAATTCCGCCTGATTAAGCACCTCACTGCTTAAAATATAAGTCTTGAGACAACGAACTGAGAACAAATGGTTCGCGTTCAAGAAAATCAAGATTTTGTCATTGTGCATTGAAGAGACTTGCATTTTGTACATAAAAGACTTTACATAATAAACACATTTATTCCCTATTAGGATGCGTATGGAGCAGTGCTTAGAGGTGCCCTGAGACAAACACGTTAATCGATGGCTCGATCTAGCACTCAGAGCTCACGAAGACTTTCACCCCTCCTGAGTTACTCATTTGGTACCAAACCTATATGGAAATAGCATCGCTGACTTGATACTTTGGTGGGCATCGTGAGTGATTGCAAAAGTCGGATGCGCACTTATTCACTTCAAATAACGTTTTATGAAGTTGAATGCAACAGCATCTCTCAGAAATCGATCAACGGCGAGAGCTTTTTCCTTGATCATTTCATTCTTGGTCACTATTTTTCAGTATGAGTTGGCATATTTTGATTTGAAGTTACAAATGACCGCTTTTGTGCATAAATGCATTTTACTCAATACATAGTGGGTGTTACGTGATACCAAAATCATCTCTTAAATGTACATTCAATAATGTTGAGTTAAATTCAAAACGTGGAGCCTCGGGGGGCGGGAGATAGACCAAGCTTGCCCACATCTCACCATTTTAGAGGGCGCGTGCTAACCGCTGCACTACGGTGGCTCTTGTTCTGCTGTCATTCTTGTTAGGGTGTAAGGATTGATAGAGTGATAGTAGAACACGAGCCCAGTAGTGCACTGGTTAGCATGCGCTATCAGAAAGAGTGAGACGTAGGATTCAACCATTGCCCGAGGTTCAATGCCCTGCATATCACTCAACATCATCACACGTATAGTTAGAATATCAGATCACTGCTAAAATAAGCAGTTAAATGAAGATTACTTGCCCATATCTCCCAAATGCCAGTTTGAAAATGTTATCGCTAGGAGAAAATTTGCAAGATACAAACTAAGAACCAGCATCCCCTCTCTAGACTTCCCTGTTTCAACTTTCAGAGCTTATTATTCTGAATATTGAAAAGTCGATAGTACACCTGAGATTTGCAAGTTTTCGCAACAATGCGTTGTTCTGATCAACAATTGACGCTTGCGCCTTGTTGTGACGACGGAAGTAGGCTCTGACACGCCCTCATTCATCTTAAGATTCTGAGAAAAGTAAGGGAAAACCTTCGCAAATGGGTGACTATTAAAACTGAAGGAGGAATAATAAAAAATGATAAAATCAGGAGAGTAGCGAAGAAAATAATCATCCAAAACGACACCACAGATACGAAGCTTCGAAATTGTTGAAATCAGAGCAAGTACATGG